GAGAACTTGAATGTGCTTACGTAACTGATTGCACGTTAGGTATGTGCGTGCGTGATTAACCCTCAGCATGCGGGAAGGTCAAATTGTACATATCACGAAGTTTTAGTGAGTTACATTCAAAATTTAATTAAACTACTTAATTATCATGATATACTTACAAACTTGACATCAAACCATAGATGATAATTCAACTTGTAATATTATATAAGTTTTAAATTGTTACTTTTATATGAAAATATTAAAAAACATTATAAAATTTCTCTAGTGTGAGAATTTGGATATTCGTTCTTGAGCTATCTCCTCTTCTAGCTTTTTTGTCAACTCCCTACAAAACTACGAAAGGTAATGCAAAATATTCGCTATAATTTCGTAATAGATATTCTGAAGCTATGTTTTTACATTCTTCAATCTTATTGAGCTAAAGAGCAATCAATGAAAGTTCAGAAACCACTTTCCATGCCTACCTCTCAGATTCTCTATTTTACAATTTGCTAATAAATTTTTCTGAGGCCACCCCATTAAATTTATAACCAATAGAAAGCCTAGATTTCAACTGATTCATTGTCATACTCGTCATACTACGTGAGCTTACAAATAATTGACAATTTTATTTGATGTGAAAAACATTTTCCCACGAGAACACACTGGGAAGAATAGTTGAATTTATAACTGTTAAAGTCACTATTGCAAACCCTGATTTGATTATTGCAAATGTAAGAATAAATGCAGCTTTTAACTATTTCTAGCTGAATAAGGAATTAAGTACTCAAGGATGTTTCACGTCAAAGACGTTAAGAGTTATATGCTGTCTTAGGCTTCCCTTCTACAGATATATTGATATGTTTAGGAACCCTGTAGTCGATGCTTTGCAGTTCTTGTTTCATGAAAAATGTGAATATTTGGATCGAATCATGTATCAAAATCGTTATTAGTTTGTGCAATTTTACGAGAATTGCTGCCCTTGTCAGTTTTCTTTTGCCTGTAGGCCTACGCCTATCACATTATAAACAAATAAATTAACATATATATATATTTTTAAAAGGACTACTAGTACTAGTATTGGGCCTACCAAATGCAAATAGACGATGTAACTTTAAAGTTAGAATCTATGCGTTATGTAAATAAGCAATTACATCTAGATTCTAGGTCCAATAGATCTAGTAAACGTAAGCAACATTGGCAAGTAACCTCACAAACAAGTCGATCGCCTTTTAATTTATAACGATAACAATAGTCAGCACACATCAAATACTGCAAAGCAAACAAAGACGATTAATTTAAACTAATCTAACTCCAGTGTAAAAGATGCATACCTTCGAGTAGATTACGTAATTTGATGAGTCATACACTTTCCACAGTCTGGCACTGTGCACCCAGCCTGTCACAAAATATTTATAGGCATCTACAGTTTTGTATGCCCTCAGTTCCTTTCTTGTGTATTGTGAGGGGCTGAAAACTAGGTAATTGAAAATATCTGTGTATTTCACGTCGGGATTGTCCATAACTGTGTTTACGTTTGTCAACATGACTAATTAATGGCATTTAAACTTGGGATTATAATACGGGTTCGTCATAGCCGTTCAAAATTGTTGACATTTTCCCTTGTATATATGTTTACACAGTTCATCTAAATATTTTGTCAATGCGCCAAATGCAAAGTTTTCTGTACAGAATGTAACGTGAGAGTTTGGGAAACCATAATATTTACGTCCAAAATAGCAGATGATAAAACTAGTTTCGCTTTCAATCACGTGATTACGTGTCCTATATAGTTCAGTTTTGTTAATAGCTAAATGCTTCATTTTAGTAACACAATTACAGCACTAACTTGCTTAAATGAGGGAATTAATATAACTATTTTAGTAGTGGGAATTTGAAGAATTCGAATTTTTACGAAAAATACACTTTCACTGTTGTTATAATATTAGATAATAAATAGATGTGAACTTTCTGCAGACTAAGAAAATGAATTTGTTAAAGCGTTAGTGTGATGAATTATTATTTTTAGTATGTTATTAAAATCCTATTTTCACCCATTCAACCTCTTGTTACAGATATATTTTATGGTGTAACCTAGCGGCAGTACCACTAATATTTTGTGCGCGGAAATTTTAAATACGGTGAGTTACGTTGCGATGTGCGCTGGTCCAAAGTTAACCTATTTTTCATTTTCGTACAAACTTGAGAACATGTTTCTGGCTTAAAAAAAAGTTATGTAATAAAAAATGAATACAAAAATGAAAGGAGAAAGATCATTTGAAAGAGATAATGGTTCTTCTAACGACGAAAATGTGGGATGGTTGACAACTGTGGGGAAGAAAAAAGTGAGTACAACTTACAAGTTAGGCCTAGTGAGAGTAGTGTAAAACTTAAAATCGAAATTTTACAGAAAAGTCTGAAAAGTGAAGTATGAAATTGGTAGCATTACTACTACTACTAAGACTAAACGAAAAGTTGACCATTTATTTTTCTTAATGTGATATAGTATTAGTATACACCTTAGTTAACTTGTACTACTAGTTCTAGTACTACTACTTCAATTAATTATTGTTTACAGATCTGACACTAATGTTACTACTACTAGTATTAATAACAATAAGTTACTTCAAAAAGGTCACCTTATCGTTATGAAAAATTGAAAGTTGTAACCAATTTTTCGCTGTGTTTATTAATGTTTATTCTAAGACTAAGAGTAAGAATGTAGGTTAAAATTAAATAATTACTACTTTGCTCTTTATATATTACAAATAATAATAGTCAATACATAGTAGTGTGCTATTTAAACTTTAATTCTAAAGGGGGTGGAACCTATCACCCTCTTTATCATCTATCAGCTTTTTTTCGCTTTGTACTTCATGACCATTAAAACTAGTAATGTGAAATTAGATTAATAATGATATAAAAGATGCTAGGCATGATTTTTATATCTTTAGTAATTAAATATCCTTGTTGGGCATGAATAATCTCAACTCAAGTTTTAGGTTTCACAATCGCATAGTGTTTCAAATTCAAGGTTGGTTTGAGTGTCAAAAGGATCTTGAACTGTAACACTGATAATTTTACTCTTAGTAGCAAATATTTAAGAAATGAAAAATACATGATTTTATTAAAATCAGATAAGGATAATTATCTTGTAGTTATGTAGTTTTATAAATGATTAAGTTCATGTTGTTAAATTAGATACCAATTTACTTTATGTGAAAATGTAAATTAAAACTTTCATATTTCACTTAAGTCTGTCAAACTTTTCAATAAGTTATTTAATTTTTTACAAACTTCTGATTCTTGTAACTCAAATTTATGGCTTAATGAAAATCCAAAAGCACTGTTGTGACTCATTTTTTCTACTTAAGGCTTACAATTATAATTGTGGAAAAATGCATAACTTAAATATTTGCCCCTTATGCTACAAAGACTTCATCTCTTATAAATAATTCATAGATTTTGTAAAAAAAAATAAAGGATTTCAATTCTTGTGTTTTTATGCTTAGTTTTGATATAAAAAACCATTTCGCGTACTTGCCTGTGCACCCCAGTAGCACAACGGTATGTCTAGACTTACAATGCTAGAATTCGGGTTTCGATACCCGTGGTGGACAGAGCACATATAGCCCATTGTGTAGCTTTGTGCATAATTACAAACATACCTGCCTATTGAGATAGCAATTAACTGTGCACTGGAATGTTATTAGAATGATTCCAGATCCTGTTTAGATGTTTCAGCCAAAGAATTTAATTTTTTGTCATTTCGTACAAGTTTCCAATTTTAAGGTGATAATTAGATATCAAATCGAACGTTTAAGAATGGTAAATCTAGTTTCGACTCTTTTAGCTAATACATGTAGGAAAGATATAGTAGATTTAAATTTTTTAATTATTAATATACTTTTTTACAGAATTTGTTTGTTACTCCTAATAGTAATAATCAAGTTTGTGTTTTCAACTTTGTTCTTTCTACCATTTAGTCTATCCATAGAAAGATTCTTCAAGCCCCTAACAATTTTAGATATTTATATCAAGTGCCCCACAACAGAAATCTGAATCCTAAGCCTTTTTATATGGCTTGAATATATTGAAAATACCTACTATTCTAGTAGCTAATCTTTTACTATGTGGTAATTTGTTGTTTTTTTAACTAAAGGGGTTAACCTCATAGCAGTTTCTTTGCTAGTATGGCACTTGTTAGCAACTCAAACAGCCATAACTTTCCTACTGAAGTACTTTGTTTTGTTAAGCTCAGTTTCTTGCTTACATACAATAAGGTTAAAATTCAGAGAAATATCTGTTAGGGTTTTTTACCTACTCAATTCCAAATATTTAGATAGGCCTATACAAATAAATAAATAAATTTGCATTGTTTTGCTTCATTTAAGAGATATTACAAATATGCTTTGTTTAGTTTGTGCTGTAGAATGTACGTTTATTAATAATTTTGCAATACTCAGTACTTTTCTGTGTTGTCCTAAAATTCCTGATTTGAAGTTCCATTCAAAATGTACTGACAGTCTGTATTTAGACCATGTTCTGCCTATTAACTGCCTGTAGTTATAGTGTTAATAATCATTTTGTATTTATGAACCAATCTATTATTCTTGTAGCCCATCTCTTACTTTATAATGTATTGGTAACTTTAGTTGTAATTAAGGCATCATCTGAATTTTCAGGGTTTTCTGGTGTCTTAGTATATTATTGTACACATTTGAGCATAGGTATAACAGATATTTGTAACTTTTATAATTTGGCTTGAAGAAAGTGGCATACAATCGTTCTTCGTTTTACTGAAATATTTATGGACTCTTCACTTGACACATAACTGAGGTATGTAGCCCCTGCAATTGTTCTTAAGTTTTTTTTACTGATGATGAGGAAAAAAAGTATTTCTAAGGTGGAGGAGATTCTTGCTTAAATTTGATTTCTTTGATAAAGAAACCATTTTAGAATATTTCTTGAGGGTAAAACTTCCTGGATCTGACAAGATTTATTGTTTAGCGTTTAACACTGGGGAAATTCTTGGTATTTCAAGTATTGCTAATTTGATCTCTATTTTTGATGAAAAAACAATTATTAGTAGAATACATAAAATATTATAGCAAATTTGAAAATCAACGGTGATGATGATAGAAACAGCTAATACCTTGTTTTATAATGGTTTTTGATAATAAAGTAATGTTGGCAACATTAATTTCAGTGAATGGTAATAGATGTTTTTTTTTCTTGTGTATTTAGGTACAAAAACATAAATCCCCAAAAAAGATAAAATGCAAGACATTATTCAAAAGAAAACCTCTTGTACTGTTGAATGATAAACAAAAAACTATTCACTCTTTTTTTGATGTGGGCAAGGAAAGTAAGGATAAAACTGATTGTCATCAGATGTATTCTGCAAATGGAAGTTTTTTTAAAGATCAAGAGAACTCGGAAGCTTATCTTAAAAGTTTAAGGGAAATCTTAACACAACCAGAAGTTGGATGTCAAAGAACAGAAGCAATTTCTCCAACAAAAACTGTTCATGTTAGTGCCAAACCCAAACTTCATCGTGTTTATAAAGATTCTGATAGAAGTAGGTACTTTTCTATGGCTCGTAATCATCTTGAACATGCAATCAAATGTAGAAAAGTTGATGCTGGTGATTATAACTTTCAACATCATTCTGAGATGTCTACTTTGGATAATGATGATGATGATCTTGATTTAAATAGCCAAAACGAAGGATTAGTCCCTTTCGTACCCATACTAGTGTCATCACTTAATACACAACTCTCTCTGGAATCCAGTCAGATTGGAGAATTTGTTTCAAAACCAGTATCATCAACTGATATGCAGTGTAACATTCTTGATTCCAGCCAGGTTGAAGGATCAGTTCATAAAACAATATCAACTTTTAATATAGATTCTTCGTTTGTACCAACATCATATCAGAGAATTTATTCCAAAAACAGTATTAATTGACACACAAGGTAACTTTCCTGACTCCAGCCAGATTGTAGGATCAGTTCCTAATACAGTGTCATCAATACAGTTCTCTCCTGAACGCGGTAAGGTTGGAGAATTTGGTCCAAACCAATTATCACTGGGTGTCACACAAAGTAAATGTTTTGACTCCAGCCAAATTGAGAAATCAGTTTCTAAACTTAAATCAACAATTAATACACAATTCTCTCTTCTTGAATCCAGTCAAATAGGACCACGTCCCTTTGTCCCCATACAAATGCCATTTAATACACAGTTCTCACTTGACACCCAGGAGCTACATCTTTGAAGTACATTAACTATATTATAATTTAATATACAGTTCTAGTTCTGTCTCATGCATTATAGTGATGAACAAATGATAGTATTATTAGCTAATGCAGTCCTACCTTGAATCTTAGACATTCAGCTCTCAGATTTATACTAATATCATCAATTAATGTGCTATTTTTCATCTCTACTAGAAACAACAGTGACGTGAAGTTGTCCCTAACAGTTTTTAATCATCATTTTAAAATATTTTTGAGCACAAGTTACTGAGTGACAAAATCTAAACTGTTTTAGGACTACTTAGGTAAATCCCTTCGTATAACAGCGAAAAACAATATACGAATGAAGAAGTATTTTAATATTTTTTCTTATTTTAAGTATTGTTTCTAGTTGAATGAATTAAAACTTTGCATAATAATATTTAAATAATGCGAGATTTATAACTTTGCATTTGTCTTTTAAAATACATTTAAGGCATATTATCGAGAAAAATAATCAGATGTTTCAAAGTTAGATTTAATCTTGAATAATACAAGTATTATATGTTATACCTTAAGGCTAAACTTTTAAATTAACCTGGATTTCTAAAGGTTAAGAAAATGGTTTGGTTTTTGACAGCTAAGCAAGCTACAAAATGTACTGATTCTGACATTGATAGTGAAATTGTTTGTATCATATCAATCAAAACTATATTTCTGTTTTATGCGTAGAATGTTTTTAATTAAAGCTATTAAAGACTTGTTCTTATAATGTATATTCTCTTTCTAAAGATTTTATTTAGCAAGACTTGCATAATACGTAGTTAAAAGTTCTGTTACCGCCATCTGTTGATTAACGAAAAAACCTTATCCGAAAAACATTACTTATTTATATAGATAATTTTTCTAACCTCTTGGGAGGGGCTCAGGCTACAGAAACCCCGTTTAACTGGCTCCGTTGAGTAAATAATATGCAAATATAAATAACATTATCATTACTGTTACTTGCCTTATATCAATACACACGGTAGTGTGCCGTGCGGCCAAAACAACCTGCAGGACACACTGTGTGTTATTAACACGAGTGATAGTTAGCGATTTTCCACTTTCTGTAACTTGTACATATTTTCAATGAATGTGCTCTATTGGACCCTTACTTCACATACCAAATTTCAAGGCAATCCATTAAGAAACGTACCAAATATAAAATCTCCAATTTTGATTGATTTTTTTTTCTTCGCACCAAAAATACGGAAAATGTATTTGATAGAAAAACATCTTAACTTTTATGGATTTTTTTTCAAATTTGGTCTAAATATAAGCGACATGTGCAAAATTATTCAACAAAAACCGCTGAATTTTGACCAAAATATTTGTGGACGCGTATGCCAAAAGTCACGTGAGCTATCGGTCTAAATTTTTTTCTATAGTTGACCGTTTTTAGTTTTTTTGTCATACGGATTAAAGACGTGATTTAGAGCAGCAAAACTATAGGTGAAAGTACGTGCAGATACACAAGTATTGGTTAGGCCAAGCAAACTAGATTAGCAGTTTCTAGCTGAAGTTTTCAAAAGAATCATACGGGTGGACGGTTATTATTCATTATACATTGCCAACTTTTAAGCACAGATTTGTTAAATTTTATGAAATTCTCCTAATCAAGAGCGTTTAGCGTCACGTGATATTAGCTTGAGCAATTAGCTATTATTATTAGCTTGAATCTTGATGCGGGTGAAGACAAGAAACTGTTAATCTAGATCTATGGCGTTACTATAAAAGAAGTTATTAACATTGTGTTAGAGAGGGTATAAACTACTACCATAAATTTTAAAGGATCTGGTTGGTTCTGTAAAGTAAAAGCATGTTCCGAATAATAGGGTTGCGATCCAAAAGTTAATGTGGGTTACTATCGAGTGTCACTTTTTTATTTGGTGTTGTTTGTTGGTGTGATGATATCTAATAAAAAAACACCTTAGGTAGTAAAAAAAAAAAAGGCACAGCCAATAAAAAATTGAGCGTGCAACTTAAATAAATGAAATCAAAATTGGCGACCAAACTGGTAGCTACACTTATAGCATTGATAAGAGTTTTACAGCAAATTTTCATTCATTAGTGAGCTAGGCAGCTTATTTTGTTTTACCCGCCATCGTGCCCCAAAAGGTGCTGTAAAATTCTTGTCAATGCTATAAGTGTATATACCAGTTTGACTGCCAATTTGGACTTCATTCCTTTATATCGCACGCTCAATTCTTTTTTTCACACCTAAGGTCTTTTTGATTAGATCTGAACCTACACTAACATTAGTGGCAATAAAAGAACGCAGGTGTCATAATGCCAATGAAAAGGCCTAGATATAGCAATATTGATCGGGACTTGAAAGTAAGATTTAAACTATGTAATGCTTTTTGTTTATTATCATTGTTATAACAGAGAGATAATGTTAGCCGTTTCCATTTGAAGATAAAGATTAATAAATGGACATTTATAATTTTTTTTGGAGTGACTTTCGGCACCTAAAAATGTTGATGATTGTGTCCTGGAGGCATTTAAACTGTTCATTTCGCGACATTTAAAAGTGATAGTCAATCCTATTATTCGGTTAAAAGAGAGCCTCGTGGCGGCATGTGCTTCTGGCTGGCGACTCTCCGTTTGGTTAATAGTTCAAAATCCCACTTCTATTAAAAATATTTTTGCTTGGGTCTTTAATACCGATCTCTTTTTCTGTTCAATATAAACAATTAGTGGTCTATAATGTAAATTGTCAATAGAGGGCGTCTCTGAACAGAGTAATAATAATAAAAAAAACGAAAATCATACTCAAGGGTCTAGATCGAAAACTCCAAGTTTACTTTTCAGGAATGGAAACATTTTGAACACCTTACATGTTATGACATACTAAATGTTTCTTTAGTTTCATTAACATCCGTTATAATGTTTAAAGTAACTGACTGTTATCATAATATTAACTTTTACACAAGTATGGAGCTTATTGTTAATTTCATACATGGATTAATCTACACCTAAGCTGGCTGAACCATCGGCCTATAAGGTGCTTTTTAGTTCTGATCTGTATAGTTTACTTTTGATTAGAAGTTATTGACAGTTAATTTGTACTTTTGATATGGCAAGTAAAACAACGAAAAATATTAATCACACAGGAAAATATACTACGACTGTACGCCAAGTAATAAAAATAAAAACTTCAGACAGTAAGATACTGTTCTTCATTATAATACAGATTGACACATTTTTATTAATTACCAAAACACAAAGTTATGATTTTACTTTTATGTTACGCATAATACATACTGGATTATAGTATTAAATAATAGCACGTGATAAAGGAAAATTCGCCTAAATTTCTTCAAGATACTTCACTGTTACATATCTAACTCCCTTCCCTCAAACTTCATTGTAGTCTACAACAGGTTTTTTTATATACCTAATCTTAAACTAGCGACGAAACATGACAATTTAGTTGTTGTGTCGGAAGAAATTCACACGAAGTAATATTACACAGACCTTCCATGATACAGTATGTTGTCACGAGAAATTTGTATGGGATTAATTAAGTTCATAGACTGCTTTTTAATATTTTGTGAAAATTAAGTTCCCTTCAACTTTTAGTGTATATAATGTACAAAATTTGGAAAATTTTACATAGAATAAGTATTGCTTAATTTCTAGGTAAAAAAGGTATTGAATCCCTGTTGGGGGAGGTGTTGAATTTTGGAAGTAATGGTTTAAACGTTATTTGGAAAGAGACTGGAAGGTAAAGTCAAATATCAGTTGGCAACACAATCGAGGAATTCTTATAATTCATTATAGTGGTTTTGGATCTTTACCGTTTTATGCACCGCGTTCAAATATAAAGAAATATATATTTTTGAATGCTGATTTCAGAAATATAAATTATAATTTGGAGAAATTAAAAGAAATATTTTAGTATTTTTTATTTTTCTTATGAAACAAAGGAAGTATTTTTAGCATTACATATATACCTATGTATTTAAAAGAATTTCAAGGCATTAAAACAATACAAAGTATCTAGTGTCAGTGTGAAAATCCAGAAATATTCTTAAATATTTGCTTGAAGAAATCATTATTTTCATGCCTACGACGCCAAACGAACTCGCAGTGATACGAGTCAATCATGTTACGATTGGTCCCACAATGTTGCTTGTTACATCTCTTAACCACATTCCAAGTACTTTCAATTTGATGCAGATTTCGGAAATATAAATGGGAAAATATTTTCATTTTTTAAAAGAATTTTAAAAATTAAATGTATATTTTATTTAAATAAACATGTAATTATGTACTAATTAGTTTAACTTGATATAATAACCTCTCATAAACTGACCTAACTTAGCAAAATAGAAAATAAATCTTTTCATTTCTCCAAATTATAATTTATATTTCTGAAATCAGCATTCAGAAATGTATATTACTTTCTATTTGAACGCGGTGCATGAAACAGAAAAGATCCGTGTTTTCATTTTTATATTAAAACCAAACATGTTCCGAATCCCTGACCCGTAGAAATATGGCGGAAATTAAGTACTGGGAATACAGTGAATGGTCCTATGATTTTAGGGCACTAACAGGTTGATCTACGTTTTATAGCCAATTTTAAAAAGGCAACAAATACTTCTAAATTTAATTTTTTTATGTCCTAAAACTGAAGTTTTATTTGATTTTAAAATTACGAGTAATGCTTCAACAACAGTAGCATGACTAAACACTTAATTCGAAATTTTCGATAAACAAAGAATAAAAAAACTTACAAATCTTTTATGTAAGGTAATATTTATAATCTACAAAGAAATTAACAAGTTGAAAGTAGATTTTTTTGCCAGTAACAAGACTAGTAATTGCAAGAGCGTGTACTGAAATAAATTACTTGTGCATAATACTTCGCCATCAGTCACGTTACTCAGAGAAAAAGTTAATAGCCTTAAAAATTACCAAAAGGTAGTTCAAAAATCCATTTTAATGAGGCAATATATAGCCTACTTTAAGATTTTATAACTTAAAATAAAAACTTCTGTTTTTTAAAGCATATTTTACCTTTTTAATATATCGTTAGTCGTTCCTAAGTTTGAAATTACAGACTAGAGGGAAAGCAGCTGGGCAACGGTTGTTGGCAAATTTTTACTGATGACAAGTGTAATTGACCGTAACATTATAGCGGCCTGAAAGGACGAGCATGTTTGATGACGGGATTGGATCCCGCGACCTGCAGATTGCCAGTCTAGTGCCCCAATCACCAAGCCAATGTCGTGTGTGTATTCTAGAATATGAAAAAAAAGCTAACTAATTCCTTTTTGTTTCTCATTGCTTTCTGATGACCCTGCATAGAAAAAAAAAGGTTTATAATTCAATTAAAGATTTCAATGAAATTTCTTAAAAAAAGAAGAAAACAA